TATATTTTTAAAATGACGAATATAGTGACAAAAGTTTAAAAAAAAAAGTTAAAAGGCCGTACGAAAAACTTTCACTGGAATAGTGCTAGCTTAAAAGTTACGGATAGCAGCAATATACGTTTGACCTATTATATCTTCTCAGCTTCTGAAGCAAAATACTTCTATCAATCGTTTCAAAGGCCCTTTTGAAATCTAAAGAGACAGCTACAACATATTTACCTTTATCTGTTTCATTAGTAATAATGAAACGATAACTTTAGTGATGTTTCACAAGAATGGTTTTTTCGAAAACCAGATTGAATGATAAACATGATTTGATTTTCTTCAACAAACTCTAATAATTGATTATATACTGCTATTTCTAAAACCTTCTCTATTAGCGGTAACATATTAATAGGTCTAAATTCACTTGCTTTTATAGTAATTTCAAAAACTACACCTCACGATTTGATCTCCACAAACTTTAATTGAAAAATTAATCACATGTTTCGCTACCACAGCAGCTTTATAAAGTGATTTGAATTACTTTGGATCTTAATCAAGTAACGGCCGAATCAATAAAAAAAAATGCTTTTATAGTGTTTGTAACTTTAGGTATGGGTATAATGGTACTTATTTTTAATAATTCGGGCAACTGACCATTCTGGAGCGATGTATAGATTGAATTGAGGATTTCATGACCAGCTGCTTCAAATACTTGCTTCAACATTTTAGAATTCAAGATTTCATGGATACTACATTTATTATCTAGACCCAATTATATCATTAAAATCTCTTAAAGTAATCAATCTGGAGGTGCTGAAGGGTAAATATAAATTATTATCCAAATTGAACCAAGGTTCAGAATTCCCAATATACAGGGTGTTTGGTAGCTGGGTGCAAACCTTTAAGGGGGTGATACATTTTATTTTCTAGCGCGTTTTTGATTTTTAAGGGAACTTTTACGATTTTTAGTACAAAACCTCTCGAAAAAAATTGGTNTAATTAAAAAATTTTTGATTCTGTATTTGAACTCCTTCAAAGGTAGATTTTTGATATTTTGGGGAAGCGAATTATACATTTTTGGAGCATAATAATTTACGCCAGTTCTGGTTCTGTTGACTCTATGGTTCTGGAGATACAGATTTGAATTATTTCGAGTGTTATAACTGTGGATTGCATCATGTGTAGTATAACCTCTTATATGTTTTTTAACATGTAGCAGGCATTGCAATATATATAATGATGGAAGTGTAAGTATTTTATTATTTATGAAGCTACTTCTACAGTCTTGCCTGTAAGAAAGGTTATCAAGAATCCTAATTGCTCTTCTCTGGATGCCAAATAAATCTGATGCATTGGGCACATGGCCCCAGACAAGTACTGAATACGATATGTGAGATTGAATAATCCCATGGAAAGCTGTTTTCAGAACTGGTTTTGATACCGCTTTTTGTAAGTTCCTCAGGAGATAAGTATTTTTGGATATTTTGACTATAAGTCTATCAATATTTACATTCCAAGTCAATTTGGGGTCAATGTATACACCTAGAAACCTAACATATTCAGGGTTACTGATATCTGGCACTTCGCGCAACGAAAAAATGACTGTTTGGCTCTTATCTTCATTAAGTTTAAGATTATTTACGGCAAACCACTCACTGACATTTGTCAGAGTATCCTCGAATGTGGTACGCAAAGTATCAATATTATTTCCAGAAATTGATACAGTTGTATCATCAGCAAACAACACGAAGTTAGCACTTGTGTCACTAAATCTTATATCATTGAAGTAAATCAAGAAAAGGATCGGTCCCAATATCGACCCCTGGGGAACTCCATACTCAATAGGAAGTAAGCTAGTAAATTTGCCATTCAAGTAAACAGCTTGCTGTCTGTCGTCCAGATAGGACTTCATCAGTTTAAGACTGCCTGTAGATAATTTATAATATTGAAGTTTTGAGAGCAAAACTTTAGGGCAAACACAATCGAACGCCTTACTTAAGTCACAAAAAAATGACATTGTGAATCCGCCGGATTCAAAACTATCAGTTATAGTCTCAACAAGTGAATTTATAGCCATTGTTGTTGAGTGTTGGGATCGAAAACCGAACTGTACAGTAAATAAATTATGTTGTTCAAAGTGATTAGTTAAAGGTATTTTCAGCAGTATTTCGAATATTTTGGCAAAATAAGGTATGATAGAGATAGGTCGATTATTTGATATCAGATTTGTTGCGCCACCTTTATGTATAGGAATTACACAACTCAATTTGAGACAAGTAGGAAAAGTTCCTTCTTTCACACACTCATTGTATAGGTTAGTAAGGGGGTACACTATGTCATTAGCAATGCATTTGATAATTTTGGTATTGAAACCATATATACAAAAACAACTCATGTCGGGGGGAAACTAAATAATATATTTATCACTGGCATTGAATGAAAGAGACACTAGACAATTGAAAGTAAAACACCCATTAGAGAATGAAACTTACATGAATCCAGCCTATAGTTATGAGATTATGCTGATCTTGATAATCAAATATTTCCTCTTCATTCATTGTCATACAGGAATCGGAGGTTCCCTTTTGCTTAGGTAAAATCATGTGTGTTATGATCAATTCATTCCTCTCCTGAAATAAAACAAATATTGTTGAAAAAAATGAGGATATCTAGTCCCCTTCATTTTCGAAAATCAATAGAAGTTTTTTTATTTTGAGCGACTGTCTTGTTTGTAGGTCTTTTGCAGATACTTGATCTCAAAGAAATTACTGAGCCGGTCATGTCATTACCCTGGAAATTGTCTGCAGGTCGCGATGAAGTCCCGTTATTTTTAATTAAAAAATGCATTTTTACTTACCACAACTGAAGTACGAAATCGTTGTAGAAAGTGTATACGCAATGGTGGAGGACATTTTGAACACCAACAATAAATTTTTACAGTACAAAACATGTTTTTCTTTAATTCCACAAATATCCATATTTACGACCTTTAACTGGTTCAGGTACCCTAATTAAAAAAGTTTAAGACTTAGCTAGGTGAATGATACCTCAAACGAAAGAGCAATAACTAAGCATGTTTTTAAAGGTGTCTGAACACCTGCATGTATTTTATTTATTTTTTTAATTGGCAGAAAATAAAATGTATCACCCCCTTGAAGGTTTGCACCCAGCTACCAAACACCCTGTATATGTTGGATTCTGTTTACAAAGTACAGGGTGTAACTAAATAAGTGTAAAACATTTAAGGAGGTGATTCCTCATCGAAAAAAAGATAGGATCTTTCATATAAAGAAACTTCATTGGAGTATCCCTTGTTAAGATACATCCCCTCAAAGGGGGTACATAACATTTGTATAACAGTTTTTTTCACAAGCACTGAAAAAGTTACAATATTGAAATTAACCTGACGTTTTGTACTACCAAAAAGACACTTAGCCAGTAATCGTCGCCCCATCTACCTGTGAACGAGGTAACCAACTGAATATCCGAAATTTGCACAATTCCTCGTATAAGGAAAGAAAATTTTTCACATATGGGCATACTTCAGTGAAGAATCCTGCACTGACATCTATCGGATATAATCCAACGCCCTTCGTGGTATTAGCCAGGGAAGTAGTTGTTTTCTGAGAGGTGTCAGTCCATTAACCTACTGTGTAGGGAGTTGAGACTGGCCTGAACGAATTGTTCTTTCAGATGATTTGATAGTTTAAGTTGGCAATTCTCCTATTTTGTCATTTGTAAGAAAAGTTAAGTTAGTACAGAGAAGTAAAAGGTGTGATGTCTGTCGCCATACTTTACTTTTGGGTAACTCATCAAAGTTTAATGAAATAGTTAGAACAAAAATGTATTTTATTCAAATCCAGCGGAACGTTGAAAAAAGAACAGCTAGAAAAAAACGTTTTCCACATGAATAATAAAGATGCATAGTAATTTATTAGCAAATAACATCCATTTATTTATATTATTGATCGTCACTCAAGGGCCATTTCTATTTTTAATGACAACCACTGTGGTTTTCATTAAAACACTAGTACTATGTTGCTGTATCGCTGCTGTTCCAAAGTTTTGACAGAATCAGAATCAACGAACTTGGGCATGTGCAGCGTTATAGAACAGTACTTTCAAAAAAGTGTTCTACAGCGCCATCTAATGGCGAGTTACAAAAAAATTGATAGCCTAAGAACCTTCTCTATGAAAAATTACTTATACATGTCAAGTTTCATCACGATCGGTTGAGCGATGTAGAAGTTCATCACTTACTAACCAACCAACTAACCAACTAACCAACCAACCAACCAACCAACCAACCAACCAACCAACCAGCCAACCAACCAACCAACCAACAAACATCCATTTTTATATATGATTTTTTGCCAAAACAAAATTGACAATGTTAAAAATATGATAAAACTGATTTGATGAAAATCCATTATAACTTATTAAAAAAAGACTAATGTGAAATTTTTACTTGACAGTGTACAAAACCGCGACACGCCTGAAGATGCTATTATAAAGAAACACGTGTCCCGGTTTTGCAAACTGTGAAATGGGAACTCCACATTAAAGTGTTTTTAGAATACGTTGCTAATTCAAGAGTATAGACGTAAAAGGTATGATAGAACTTACAGATCCGTAGACTTGACGGTATTTCGAACAAATTATTCGACAAACTCAAAATTCAAACCCCTATAAATCAACGACACTCAATTTAGTATCAAAACAGCCCAAACGCACCTGTCAACTGAAGGAGTAATCGTGTCATATGAAGGTTCTGAGGGTAGTGGAGCAGATGGTACTATTACATTCGTGTCTGGATCTGGGTAACTTATGTCATCCAAATTTCCTGTTACTTTAACAACTGCTGCAGATCTGTCTGTCACACAAGTCACTGGCATTTTGGGTTTTTCCGCTCTTCTAGTTGCATTTTCCTTCCTTTTCTGTTCCAGTTCCTGTTGCTTCTACAAACCAAGTAATGAAGGTAAGTAACTGTAAGCACGATTTAGAATATGTTTGAAATTTTCTTTGCGGTGAAACGATTCCCTAGAGTTCAGTTACATTCAAAGAATACTCCAGCGTCGTTAACCAACAACCAGTCCCGAAGACCACTTTCATTATCTTTCGTTGGTAGTCAAAGATAACTACACCAAGCTTATTAGTTTGTATCTGCCTGTATGTACCGGCATTTTTAATTTTTTCTTGTCGGATTCGGTATTTGATAGGGCCTAAGGCAAACTATACAAACAGAAACATTTTGCCTCGTCATTATCTTGGGGGTACTGAACATGGTCAAGAGTCCTCGCAATGGATATGGCTGAGACCCTATACACTAGACATACCAGTAACAAATGTACATGACACACTTATAACAACAAAAAAAAAATCCTATTAGTCAGTGGGCTATGCTTAAAGACCGGCAGTAAAAAAAATCTAAAGAAATGAACATTAAACGTTAAAGCCAGTCTCGATATACCTACACAGTAGGTTGAATGGACTGACGCCTATCAGAAAACAACTACTCCCCTGGCTTATACCACGAAGGGCGTTGGATTATATCCGACAGGCGTCAGTTCAGGAATCTTCACAGAAAATTTCCTGCATATGCAATTGGCAATACAACTGAAAGCGTCGACCTTCAATTTTGGAACGGACACACTTGCAGACCGATTTCGGGCTCATTAGCCACTCATTAGTGCAAGATAGTGGCCATCATCGACCTAAAGTCAATGATATTCCAGAATTGAAAATCGGAATTCTTTCAGAGTATTTCATTCCTATTCCGAAGTTGGAGCAAACAACAAAATGTCACTCCATCTAGTGGACGAAGTACTAACCAACTGCATATCCGTAATTTGCCGATTCCTCTGAATAAGGAAGAAAAACTTTCTTATTAGTCAGTGGGCTATGCTTGAAGACTGGCAGTCAACAAATCCAAAGCAAATGAACTTTAAACGTTCAAGCCAGTCTCTATATACCTACACAGTAGGTTTAATGGACTGACGCCTATCAGAAAACAACTACTCCCCTGGCTAATACCACGAAGGGCGTTGGATTATATCCAACGGGCGTTGGATATAATGCAATTGGCAATACAACTGAAAAAGTCGACCCTCAATTATGGAACGGGCACACTTGCAGACCGGTTTCAGGCTTATTAGCCACTCATCAGTACAAGATAGTGACCATCATCGACCTAAAGTCAATGATTTCCACAATTGAAAATCTGAATTCTTTCAGAGTATTTCATTCCTCTTCCAAAGTTGGAGCGAACATCACAAAATGTCACTCCATCTAGTGGACTTTAGTGGACATTATTACCAATCCATCTGTCTTCGAAGATTTCGGTTAAAGCTTCGCTGACTGAATGAGAATTATGGGGTGGAGCACCATCCATTTGGTACCATACACGTTCTCTTCCTGGTCTATTATTTAAAATCATTTGAATTCCATTCCTTACCCTGTATGAGGCAAATGAAAATATGACTCGGAGTGAAGATCCTCATAGTATCACTCCACTCCATTTCAAATCTGATCGTTTTAGTGCAAGAGAGTTCAAGATTATCAGCATTTATAAAAGTTCATCTTTGGTAAAAAAAATATCGAAATTAATTTATATCTTCTCAAGCGGTAATAGATAGGTATAGGGAAATAGTATATGAATTTGTTGACAAAGTGATAATGAATCATAATATAATATTATATACGGGGTGTTTCATTTGAAAAATCAAAGAAGCCGCTACTTTATAGTAGAAGCGACAACGCCGCTTCGTCTGAAATATTTTAGGCGTGTAGGTCATATTGATTTATGCATACTGTGAAATTTTCAGCTTGATCCGTTGAATAGTTTGTCAGAAACGGCTAATTAACACTCATCATGAAAAGCCCTGTATTGCAGGCCCCACACAAAATTATATTTTCAGTTTCATTCTCAGCAAGTTTAAATGTATGTAATAAACAATCAATCGATATTCTACGAATATCGATATTAATGTGTTTGTCTTCAGGAAATTATTATCGTTCCGCCATTTTGTAGTAGGTGAAGATATTGACTTCATATTCTAGGGTTGTGAAGTATTCGTCAGGAGCTTCAAAATGATGTGTCACAAGGCCCCCTTTCCGATTAATTTTTTTCACAGATGGCGCCAAGTCGCCATCTTGATAGTTTCATCTGTCAATTTTACTTCAAAATAAAGTATTCATGCATTAATTTCATTATCCCAAACTTCAATTTTTTCAGTTGACCCATTCAAAAAATAAAAGGGAAGGGGGGACATTGAAGAAATGCACTGTATACACCTTAGGCTTATGGACATTTTAGGCAAACTTTCACTATTTCACTGTTTATGATCCCCTGTAATTAAAATGGTTTCATTGAAAAATACTTACCAATTCTGCTAAACACCTATTGTAATCGTCTTGATACTGATCCAGCAATTGTTTTTTCAATTTCTCGGCACGTGGCAGAATTTCTCTCAGCTTGGCTTGATTTTTAGATTTTACCTCCACTGGTACAGCATTAAATCCAGGATGTTTCCGAATTTTCTCCAGAAATAACGTCATGAATTTTAAATAAAGAACATAGGAATTCTCCAGACTGCCTTCGCTATAATAAACGTTCGCCATTCGCACCATCTCTAGGCCTGAACGATAGTACCTAAAAAATAATGAAGGGGGACAACTCAAAATGGATCTTCGCTCAATTTTTAGATGCAGAAGAAAATGCTGTTCAATGAGGTGGTTCTACAACCACCTCATTGGAAAATCTATTAGTTCGGAATTCCATTGTCTGATATGATACAATTTGAAATCTCTGAAGTAACAAATGAAAATTGAAATTGAAAAATAGCTGGGAATAACGATTATATTGGGCACAAAACCCTGAAATTAATTGTGTTTCTTGAAAAATACAAGATCATCAACATGGTTTTAGAAAAGCTAGATCAGTTGAGACTGCTATCGCTAAAAAATTCCAGTTTATTTACAAAGAAATTGATAAGAGGAAGTAGGTAGTTTAAAATAATAATAACATTAATTTGGTAAATAGGATACATTCCTAATATACAATAACAAAATTATAACTAACAAGTAATTGATTAATATTCCAAAAATCATGACTTCAGTTACAATTGTTATAAATATGATGCAGTAGATCAGTTTTAAACTTTTTTGAAGTTGAAGCTGATTTAATTGAATGAGGCAATTTGTTGTACGTATCAAAACCTTCGACATATACTAAGTTCATACTGATTTTGGTATTAGTTCTATGTATATGTATGCCAAGATTATGTCTAGTGTAATATTTGTGAATATCATAATTAAAGCAAATAGATTTTTTTAAGATACGTTCCAGTTGAATCATCAACAATTTTATGCACAAATATCATTGTCTGGTTTAAAAGTCTCTGGGATACCGAAAGCCAATTTAGGGTTGTTAACATTTTAATTATGGGAGTATATCGGTTTCCTCTCAATATAATTCTTATTCCTCTATATTGTAGTTTTTGTAGTTGTGTCTGTTTGTTCAAATTGCAAGAGTATAAAATCGAAGCACAATAATCAAAGTGTGGTTGTATAATTGTTTTATAGACTAATATCTTTGTGTTTAAAGACAGATGCTTTGAAATTCTAGAGTAAAAATATAGTTTTTAACTCTCTTGCAACAACTCTCCCTGCATGAAATCCTGCTGCTAGTCTTTTACATAAGTACTAGTAAATATTCCTTAACAAGCATACCAATAACCAATACCGAAAACGTAATCACCGATAATGAACATAAATCAAACATGTTTAATAAATATTTTGTTGAAATAGGAATAAAAATGCAAACCAATATAAATAAATCCCAGTTGCTTTCAAATTATCCAATAGTAAACTCTACAATTGTACTGGAACCCACGACAAGGAATGAGATCATCAATATCATATCAACGCTCAAAAGCAATTGTTCACCAGGTAAGGACATGATCTTAACAAAACTTATAAAAAACACTTTCACAGTTATTCAGTAGATCCTCTGGTCCATATAAAAAATCTTTGTTACGAGAGCGACAATCTACCGGATGAATGGAAAAGAAGTCTTATCACACCAGTTTATAAATCTGGTGAACGGAAACTTATTGAAAATTATCGACCAATTTCTGTGATGATAAAAAAGACTCATAACTTTTCTGAATGAAAATAATGTAACAAATGAAAGGCAATACTGGTTTCTAGGTACCTAATTGAAACAGAAAAAGCAGTTCTTGGCTTTGTGAAAAAAAACGGTAAACACTCTGGATAGATCAGATAAATGTCTAGCTATCTTTCTTGACCAGACCAAGGCGTTTGATACTATATTTCATGAAGTTCTTTTGCAGAAGCTTTACAATTATAGAAACAGATATTCTACAGAATTATCTATATAAGAGATCTCAGAAAGTTAAGTTAGGAGAATATTGTAGTAGTCCTTTAGAAATATCAATTGGGGTACCACAAGGAACTGTGCTAGGCCCAATATTGTTTCTTATTTATATAAATATTATTGGATTTTTGAAAAGCTCTAAAGCCCATATTATCTCGTATGCCGGCGATACCACTTTGATTTTTTCTGCAAACACTTGAGATAGGTTAAGTTAGTTCTAAAGTGAGTGGGTCTATTCGACCCTCCACCGCAACCCGCAAGGGTTCATTGTGGCTCCCACCTTATCAAACTCGACTAAATAAACCCAGCTTCTTCGCGAAGTCGATTAGTTTGTATAGTGACAGATCTTTCAGTTCAGATGGTAAGAGTACGGCTCTGCCGAACTCTAAAAACCTGATTCGGTCCCAAGCGGGGCAGGCACAGAGTATATGCTCTGCTGTTTCACATTTATTTTTATCTGATTGCAGGTGATCAACCGATAGTAAAGAAAAGTATTCATGTACACGAGATTAATTGCCAAAATAGCAACTGTCCGAAAATTGAGAATTGTAACAGTATCAAGTATTTAGATGAGTTATGAAAGACCAAAACTTAAGGTGGGAAAATCAAGTTGTATCTTTGACTAACAGACTCAGACAGCTGACTAGAAAAATGTATGAACTGAGAGAATTTCTGAATGATGAAACAGTAAGAGTAATTTACTATTCATTAACTGAATCCATACTACGGTATTGTATAAAAGCATGGGGAGGTTTATTTCTCAATAATTTAACAAAACTCCAGTCAATGCAAACAGAATCCTGAAAATAATATTCAAAAAACCAAAACTTCATTCAACTGCACAACTATATGAGCAGTCGCAGATACTTGATACTACATCAGATCTGGCGGCTATGATGAAATTCCTGTAAAACTACTGAAATTCACTGCGCAAGAACTTTCAAAACCTATAACATTGATTGTCAATAAAATCATACTTGCAAAATAGAACACAAAGAGTTGTTGAAAAATACCACCTCGCTAACGAAAACGTACAGTCAGATGAATTAACAATCTTGAGAGGAGTTCCGCAAGGATCAATCTTAGGGCCGTTGCTATACAGTGTGTCCAAGATAAGGATCCTAAGCATGGGAATCTCAGTACCTGTTGGAGATACAGCTTAGGTTAAATTAGGAAAAAGTTGTGTTCTTTAAAGCTTATTCACATGCCGTTTAGAAACTTGAAGAATTTTCATGGCCTGCTGAGATATTTGGGAAAAACGAGAATTTGACAATATCAATTTTATTTTTTTCTGACTTTATTTGAAAAGATATCAAAAAACGAATAACACTTTTTC